TGTATAAATATAATACATAAACTACTATATAAAATACTTTAAATCTGTAAAATTGTACTGTGACAGATGTGTTTGACTTCATGTAGGAAGAAGTGTAGCCTGGATTATATATATACACACACTTACTTATTTATATGTATAAATATATATATGTACAAAACTGAAACTGTACTATAGCAGATGTATTTGATTTCATCTAGTAGCCTGGATTATTTTAACTAGAGTTATTTTGACAAAGAGGGACAACAGCAATGAGAATCGGTTTTTAATCCCACTTAAATCCCTCCCTTTGAATTCTAAAAGAGCTGTTTTCCATCATGTCAGTAAATTCAGATTACCATAACCTCTTTAAGGCAGAGGGCCTGATTAACTAGTTCTCTGGTAGAAGAGGGGACTGAAGCCCTTAATTTAGAAATTTAAACCTATCCCTGATCTAAAGGTGAAACTTAGATTCTGTTAAAAGCTCTATTTTGAGTTTTTCTTGGTGAAAAAGACCCACTGGTTAAAGCATGCTGTATATGATTATTTTATTCAACCATATTTTCTAGTCGCTTTTTTCTCATATAGCTGGTCATGTATCTGTGAAGTGTTGAAGATGTAACTGCAGCTTGACTGTACAGTGCCATGGAATACTTGACTGCAGTGCAATAAGAAAAATCATACTGTTTTATCATTTCTTGAATGACTTGCATGGAAGAAAGTTAGATTATTTCCTGCTTTCACAGAGTTTTTCCACAGAAGTTTTCACAGTATTTCTGTTCACTGTTTTCTGCAACTTCTTGAAGCCTGAAAAGAAAGAATTGTTCTATTCTTGACTTACCAAGTCAGCAGTTTGTTCTCACTTCAAAATGTAATCTGTGTAGGTGGACCAAAAACTAAGGGATTACTGTTCAGAAATCCAGCTTGTATTCACTTAATTCATTAATTGTTGTGCAGAAATAATGAAAGATTCATTTCCTCTCCGTACCCGTCTCCCAGAAGGCACAACAGTCACGTTTCAAATATATTAATATGTTACAGCAACAAGAATTCAGTCACTTCTGTCTTTATGCAGTGATTCCTTTTTTGTGTGGACATGCACATGGTTGCAGAATTAGTCATTAGTCAGGTTGTTGAATATTTATGAAAAGACTGCTCTGAACAAGCTATTGCTAAAGCTATTTCCTATGCTTCCTACTCCCAGCTTGCTTTAGGATGCTGTCCTAGAAAGTGATATTCTATATTACCATATTTCTTACAAATTCAATAGTATCAGATATGGATCATAGTCTACAAAAATATGTAAATGAGACTGACTGCAGTAGAGTTTGAACTGTGGACCAACTTTCAGGTTTTCTGTGTCTGTAAGTCTGATTTGGCACATCTGTGAAGTATTGGTGCTTGTACTGAGCTTAGTAATCAACAGTAAATCTCTAATGAAGTAAATATTCATTGGGCTAAGATCTGTTCAGGAGGTGGATTAAACTGTAGACCTATACCTTTGCTAGCTGTATTTTATGGGACCTCCTAGCAGATAGCCAAACCTCGAGGCAAAATTTTCTGCCAACTAGTGCTGTAACTGGTGGTCTTTGCACTGGTGTGCACTTCTGTCATATTTTGCAATATCTTGTTCCTCTAGAGCTCCTTTCAGTTGCCGTATTTTTCTTCTTGCTGTTACTTTGCTTTACATTCTCCCCAAAGCATTGCACATCACTAGAAAGCATGAGAATACAATCTGAAGCTGTAAGAGACCACAGCTATAGAACAGTAGGAGTCTTAATCTGGTTTTGACAGGAGGTGGTGTTTTTTCTCTGCTCTTATGAATTAGTTGTTTGGGGTTTTTTGTTTTGTTTTTTCTTTTTAATTGAAGGGGGAAAAAAAGCTTTTTTAAGTATCATGATGTAAACACAGAAGCTTATTATTTAGTTGTAACAGCGTGCCAGATGATCATGAAGAAAGATCTAGTCTGTGCTTTGGAAAGCTTCTTTCTCTGTGTTCCTTTACAGGGATACTCAGCAGAGATGCTCCACTGAGACGTAGCTTTTTATATGTGTTTTCCAAGGCTAGGTGGCAAATTTCTTGATCCTTGCTTTAGTGCCACCAGTGACAACAGATATTCCCTCCCACCCTCTAGTGAATGTAAGTTTTCATTATTAAAAGAAGGTGTTTGGCAAGGAGGGGTGA